TAAAGTTCTCTTTTGTTCTGTTTTATAAAATTGTGTTTACTCTATACTGACAAGATACAAATCTGTATCTTTACTTAAAACATTACACTGATTTTACCAACTGAGATTAGCATACAAATACAGAACATACAAGAGAGAATTCTTTAATTTTTTTGCTTGATATTCCTTAGTTTTGTTAGTAGAAAACTTAAGAACCTTTTTCACCGTAAAATGTAAATAAATTCCGCAGATCTATGGTATGCAAGAGTCGAGAGCAAGGGTCTAAATCTATCGATCGGTGGACGGATCCTTCAACATATCCAGGTACAAATTAATCTCCTTTTTATATTATAAATTACACCACGTATGCCATTAGATTAGGTAATAAGTAACTTAACAAAAAGAAAAAATATCTCATTGAAAAACAAGAATCTTATTTGTTTGTTTTACTCGAAAACACCTGGACTGATTTGCACAATACTTGTTTTGTTGGAAAGTGTTTTTATGATCATCAAATGAGCATGGGATCCTGGAGAAGTCTTTGGAGTAATTCTTGATCTAGCTAGAAACGAGGCGGTTTGAGATGCGGGTGTGTTAGTATAGGTATAAGCCCTGAAAAGGTTGAGATAAATACACGTTTTTCTATTTTTTTGAAGAAGAAGACTTTGATGTATGTACGATCAGACCTTTTTCTCAGTCAAAAATCCTTTAAACAATTACAGTCAATTCAATTGAACGTTAACGTTTTTTTATTTTTGTGGTGTAATTTATATATCAATTGACTTCTGAGTATAAAAATACATTTCTAACTCTAACTTATTTATCGTTTTAAATTCATTCAACAATTTTTATAAGCTTCCCCGCGCCTCCAATGATATCACAATTCTTTACAACAATAAGTGGACTTTCTTTAGTCCTATGCAACGCTTTGAAGCTGAGAAATGAATTGGAATATTGCGGTGAGTTTTAGATTTAGAGTTTAAGAAAAATACTGACTATTGTCAAAGGAATACCTACTAAAGTTTTGCTAAGAAGAATTTCATAAAATTTGAGCTATTTTGACGATAAACTTTCTTATATTTGTATATTTAGAAAAGCTTTATTTTAGATATTTGAAGTGATGAAGTATTTTTAGTTTACGTAATGGTTACGGAATCATATTTGCAGTGGAATTCGCGTCATGGCGTAGAAGAGCACAATTGTTTGTTATTTAAAAGGCGATCTAACTATACATTCAATCTGGCACTTTTCTTAAATTTTCACAATAGCAATCCAGCGAAAAGCATTGCATAGGACCTAATACTGACAGAATAATGCATTTCCTATCGTTTACCGCACTATATCTACAACACCAATTAACTTGTTCTTGTAGCTACGCTGTGCAAGTATTAACGATTTTAATGCAAAGACGTTAAAATATAGATTGCAGTAAAAGTAATTTAGGTTACCTTATTGGAGAGGCAACTTCAACCATGTTTAACTCATATAAATACAATTTAGTTTAAAATATACCTGGAGATCACAAACGTAGACTGGTAGAATGATGCTGGACTCAATGCGTCCAGCGATGTTTTAAAAGAATATAATATTAACGATTATTTCCATGTAATAAACTATGGTAACAAAAACCATAAATTTATGAACCTAAAAAAGAAATTTATATATAGAACAAAAAATTAGAAATTCGGACTTCGTCTCCCTCATAAAAAGGTTGCATAAAGACGGTACATCAACGGTGCGTACGGGTTCTCCTCTAGTAAATTTAATACCGAGTCAGGTGTTCGGCAGGGATGTATATTTTTGCCTTACTCTTTAACATCTACGAGTACATGAAGCGTTGTGTTTTGGAGGACTGGAATAAGGGAATCTCTGTTAGGGGCCGCGTGATTAACAATGTAAGATACGCTGATGATACAACACTTCATGCCCAGACAAAGGAGGATTTAGAAGAATTACTGTCTCGCTTAGAAGCAACTAGTTTCCACTTTGGACACCTTGAACAGAGATAAGACGAAAGTGATTATAGTAGACCGAGCTGGACATAACGATGTAGTAATTCAGAGCATCGCTAACTGTGAAGTAGTACAAACTACATCATTGGAGCTACTATCTCGAACCCAGGGTGTGGAGAGAGGAGGAGGAGACGATGTGCAATAACGAGATATGCGGTAAAATGTGCGTATGAATTTAATTAGTACCACAACCGGATCCACTCTGCAACACTGCTGTTTGTGTGCTCTGCAAAGTGTAGTTGCGAGCAGCGGTTCCGGGACGAAACAACGATGTGGACCAGAAACCGACGCCGAAAAGAGTGCACATTTAAAATAAAATAAGAAATTAATTTCATAAATAAATATACATACAAAACGAATGTAGTAGTAATTTCAAGGAACATTGATGTTATCGTTAATTTTACGTGAAATTTTCATCTGCATTCTATCATTTCCGTTATCTGTGGAACGTTATATTAGGTACGAAATTTTTTAACATTTGTTCTCTCTCTTATAATTGAATTCATTGGTATTTACTCTGTTTCGTTGTACAATAATGTTATACAAAGTATATTTTTATAATGTATTTATGAGGGTACCCCTAATACCGTACGTATTAGGAATACCCTCATAAAATTATTTTATGGATGTAAAAATGATATTATGTATTTACTTTTACTGCAATCTTTACACGTTAATGAAGTATGAAATCGGAAAGGGTTCTACTTAACATTTTAACATTGAACAATTGATATATTCTCTTAACAATACGATTGTTGCGAAAATTGTGTTAGCAAATCGTTTTCATACAAAATGGCGCCTTGACACACTTCTAAAATTGACATCGAAATATACAGGTGGCAGGATAACTATTTTTTTAGAAATATACACATAGCCCTCAATAATAATTTTCCAATTTGTGGAATATTGCATTTTTGAGAGTGCTCAATAGGGCGATCACTTTAGATTAATGACGCATCAATTAATGTATGAACTTCAAAAGTCATGAGTTATTATGGAATTTAGACATGGATTATAACTCTTATGACACTTAGGACTCCCACACAAAACTGCGATGCGAATTTCTGCGATACGATTTAGTGCGGCAAACCGTTTGGTAGGGCGACCATTCCTTCGTAGTCAGCCGTACTGGACGTGTTTTTAGGAAGCGTAAGATGGATCGCAAAAAGATTATTGCACTGCTGTTATTGTTAAATAGATATAAAAGAAAAAGAAGATTCTGGGTTCATCCATTTATTACGATTATGAACTCTGTTGCAAACTTTCACAGACGCTCTTCCACGCATCTTGCTTAATAAATTTATTTTTATAATGTTCATTACTTGTGTCCCGAAGGACGGGACGCTCCTCAATTAAAAATATTAAAAAATCCATATCATATTGCGCATTTTTTTATAAACAAAGAAGGTGGTAGAGGCGCCGCGCGTCTTTCTCTAAAGCTGTCTCAGAGCGGACTAAAATGGCGTCACCAAGGATGACGTAATATCGCAAGAATGTGCGATGCGAAGCAGATCGGAACTTTGACGGTGCGTTCGTGCGAATTCGCAGATATTTGCGATGCGATGCGAATTCGCAGTTTTGTGTGGGAGCCCTTACCAAAAATAACAGAGCGAGAAGGAATAAAACCTTTATTAGTATTGTATTTAAATATCGAATGCTTTAAATTATACCTGCCACATTAAGCTATAATACATTGACATCTATACAAAATATCAAATATTACACTACGATTATACCTTACATACTTGGTGTTCATTTTACTTGAATTCCATTCAATTTCTAACGAAAAAATCACAATATAACGTCTTTAACAAAAATATAACAATTTGGCACATTTATATGAAAAAGGAAATGGGAAAAGTTTTGGGTTGGAACTCATGTTGCCGCATATGACAAAATGTACGAATTATATTAGCGTAGTCGATGACAAAGCGAGTGCTTGGGCGCTAGACTAAAATCTTTTACTGTAAGCGTGGCCCGCTTTTAGCCTTCGAATTTGTATGGACACACTAAAGATGATACTAAGTGGGCTGATATTCGTAGGCAGACTCATAGATAGCGCTACTTGTATTAATATGATTCTTAGGTAACCCCACGTTCAATACACGTGTATAAATTTAACAACCGTCGTACTATTAGTTTGTGAGATATAGTATTTTGTGAGACGGAATTTTTTAAATTATTAATTAAATTGATAAAAAAGAATTTATTGTGTAAGTAAAACATTGCTTTTTGGTAATTATTTAATGAAATAGCGAATCACGGCCGCGGCGTAAGAGAGATATTTTAATACTGGACCAGATTTAACAAGATTAATTAAAATTATATAAAAATCTTTTTTTTAATCATATTTGTATTTTTATTAGATTTCAGTGGTGATTAAAAAAACTTTTTATTGATATTAAAGGTTGTGTTTCCGGATAAGCGACAACACGATTTCCTAGAAGAGATAGAAACTAGAGCGGCTAATAGATAGATACATGGACTACTAAGCCTACAGACATCAATACTAAGATTAACATTATTCGTATCACGACATATGACTAGCACATTCATTTGCAAGTGGAAATTTAACAAAATTAAGGAAAAGGAAGTTTATCAAAGGGAGTTTTCATTAAATTTCCAATATGCACAATAATCTACGGATTATCAGTAAAATATGGTAATTTCGATACAAAAATGTCTGAGTATAATAAAAGGTGGTTCCAAAATCAATTAGCCATTGTATAATTGAAGAAATATTTTGGAACTTCCTATTATTATTATCAGTGAATTGACGAATTTGGTACGGAACATGCCGTTCCTATTAAAATGTTACATAGCCGTACGCCGGGGTACTAGTGAAACCATTATCGCGCTTCAAGTAAATCCTTAGAATTTTTAACTTTGTCCCTTGTTAACCACATTTAAAATGCGACCTTATCATTTATACAGAGGTTTTAATTTCCCAGGACGATTGAAACGCGATAACGTTTCATTATCGAGCGCTCGGGTCTTAGAACAGAGTGCTTAGTAACTTAGTTGTAAAAGGTATAGGGAGACTGTTAAGAGGAACACAAATGGGGTCAAATTTATCGCATGGTTCCCTGAATGTAAGGCTCTGACTGCATGACGTGCTGGCGATAGTGACGCAGCAATGCTACGCTTAGGAAATACCTGTTAAAGATAATTAAAAACCACTCTAAGTAAAGATTATATTAATAAGGCAGATAATAAAATTTTGACTGAATGTATTTTTAAATAATGACCTTACTTTATAATATTAAAATAAAGATACGATAATAAAATAACTAACTTAGATGAACCTTAGTAAAGGTAATAATATATATTGACAAACTAAATTAGCCTAAACCATGGAAAATTACGAAAATATTGTAATTAATAAATTTAACTATGATTATACGACTATTTAAAAAAATCTAAGTAATTAATAAAATAATTGAATTCTCATCTCAGTTCAGTATTTCACCTAACACAGTATAATAATATATTAGTGATTTAACATTTACATTTATTATATTTCTTTGTATTCTAATCTATATACTTACAGCGACAGCACCACCGTTAGACGAGACAGCAACACACCAGACCTCTTCTGGGTCGGGTGTTATAAGAACAGCAAGCCAGCAATGCTGGGCCAAATCTGGGGTTAGAACGGCTGGTTGGGACCGGCCAGATGTCACCCAGCTAACGCGAAGATTACGCCCACAGACCCCGCAAGTTAAACGCCAGCCGCTCTCTAGTACTTCAGTGTTAAGGTTCTTTGCTGTTGCTCCACCTTGTTAGGAATGGTGACACAATGTCAAGAAGTTATCACATACTTATATTTATAGAACCAATGTAGTAATTTCACTTGAACATGTGAATTCCATTTGACAGTGTAGAGCTAAATTACAATTGATAAAATTACTGATTGAATTAAGAAAGAACCTTATTTTTACTCTTTTAAACTAATTAAATTTCTTAATTAATTTTCAAAGAAATAGGTCTCCGAGCGGTATAAAATCATCCTACAATTTTTTACAAACAAACAAACGAAACAAGGCAAATGAGCCGGTGGGACGCCTATTTTAGTGGATACGTTGCCGGCCTTTGACGGAGGAGTATGCTCTCTTTTTAAACGATTGGATGTATCTCCCAGGGACCGTGAGGTAATGAAGCGGACAATCGAGGACACTATGATATATAAAAAATCTTCATATAATTAAGTTATAAAAATGTATATAATAGGTGAACTGGCCCAAGAGAACAAAATATATAAGTTAGCACCAGACGTAACCTGCTATAGTAATATAAAATGTTGTGGACGTTTTCAATCCTACTAACCGGTAACAGAGAGTGTGACTCGTTTGAGTTCTCGTAGCCTTGCGCGCTCACTGGCTCGTGCGCCTACGCATCTGTACTCGCCACCTTCCTCCCACATTGCTTCTGATATACCTGTTTAAATAATTACGGCAAGAATATATGAGAATATAGTTTTTGTATATCACAAATACATTTCATGTTTGATAAACCGACTGGAATTTAAATGCATTTTAGGACGACACTAATTTATGTAGTTTTAAAGTTGATATTTTTTATATTGTGGTGTCTGATCGTACTTGATTTCGTGTATGCGGTGATTTTAGTTATTTCGACTATGTATTTGCGTGTTATTCTTATTTGTTATTATGGGACTTACCAAGCACTCCATGAGCGTGGTGTGACCCAGCCGGGGCCCAGTTATCACTAGCGTTACCCACTACACGACGCCACCAACAACCGACACTACCTGCAATAAATCTGTCTCCATTTAAGGTGTCTGCCGTATGTAGTATCATCTCATACCATGATCATGTAAACAAATTACACGTTATTTGAAAGATCCGCTAATGTTTATTATATACTTTCATATCAGAATAAAATGACTGACCCAAATCTATATTTCGCAAATATATTTTTATAAATATTAAACAAAACACAATACTGGGAACCTATGTAATTATTGTTGTGTCCGTAATTAATCCACTGATTGAACATTGCGTATTAAATTAAATTTTAATCCATGATTTATGCTTTAATCGAATGTAATATTTTCCGCTTCAAGCTTTATATAATAAAAACCAGTGTTTCAGTTTCGTGATCATTTGTTTCTAATAGGCAAGTAGCTGATCGGCTTTCTGTGCCTCACACACGCCGTCGACTTTTTGGGGATCAGGCATGCCCAGGTTTTCTCACGATTTTTAGCCTTTACAGAACAGAACATCCATTAGTACATAGCTAGGCTTCGAACCTACGACCGGCTGAGAGTCGCACGCTGAAGCCATAAGGGCAATACTTTTTATAATTATTTTTTTTTATTTTTTTTATTTGGACCACAAAATTAGGACAAACACATGATATAAATTGACATACATACATAAATATCAAAAGCGGTGCCGTCCCTATAACATGTGGACACGACCAGCGAAATCAAGTAGATACAAAAAACAGTTAAATACAAACAAGCATAAAAATTAAAAATGCAAACTATAAAAGAATTAAACTATTTGAACCAAGAAAATAAATTATCGGTACTGTGTCCTAATTCTACTCTTAGCTGAGGCCAGAGAACCGTGAAAAATGTCAAAACTCTGTGCAATATCATTATGGTAGCGACATAACCTATTAATTGGTGAGTTTCTGCCAACGTTTGTTCGACAATGTGGGATGTGAAAACATCTTCGATTGTACAAACGACTCCCGACCCGAGGAACTTGTATGGATAAACGTTCTAAAATTTCTGGGCAATCCACAATTCCGTTAATTACTTTAAAGAATTCCAAGTTATAGAAATTTAACCTATCCTCATATTTACTCAACATTGCACATTTATTATTTCTAAAGGATAGATGGTATAAAAACTTTATCTGCACCCTTTCCAGCCTCGCTGAATGGGTTAAATACATTGGAGACCAGACACAACTATTGAACTCCAATATGCTTCTAACGAGGCTGGTAAAAATAGTAACTGCGACACTGGGATCGGTAAGACTCCCTGTTATTCTGGAGATAAAACCAGAGAGCTTTGAGGATCTTTTTATAATACTATCCACATGCTCCCTAAAACTTAGTGAACTATCCATAATAACACCCAAATCTCTTATGCTTTTAACCTCTTGAAGTTTCTGGCCCCTTATGCAGTATGTTAGTGGTGAAGATTTCTTTTTTTTCGAAAATTTTATGCAGCAGCACTTTCCTTCATTTAAAATAATTCTATTCAGCCCGCACCAAATGTTAACTTTGTTTAGTTGTTCCTGCAGAAAATCAATATCAATATCCTGTTGAACATGTTGGTATAATTTTAAGTCATCAGCGTACATTTTAAAATTGCACTTCAAATTATATGCTAAGTCATTCACAAAAATGATAAAGAATAAAGGCCCTAAGTGCGATCCTTGTGGTACACCCATAGGTATAGGCTGACCGTTAGACACATGCCCTCTGATCTTTACCAGTTGTGTCCTATTTTTTAAGTACGAGTCACACCACCTAAACAATGACCCATGGATGCCCAAGGAAAAGATCTTCTGCAGTAGTAAATCGTGGCAAATGAGGTCAAAAGCCTTACTGAGGTCGGTGTATATTGCATGGATTTCCTGTCCGTTGTCGATTCCCTTCGCTATGTCCTCAGTGAAACCAAGCAAATTCGTAGTGGTCGATTTCTTTGGCATGAAACCATGTTGCTCTGGGTGTATATTCTGTTTTACATGCCAAAAAATTCTCTGCTGAATAAGAGACTCAAACACTTTTCCAGGTGCTGGCAATATTGAAACTGGTCTATAGTTCTGAACAACGTTTCTATCTCCACCTTTGTGAATAGGTGTTACCCGAGCAGCTTTCCATACGGTAGGAAACACCTTGACGCAAAGACTCGTTATAAATCATGCATAGGGGAATCGATATATTTTCGGCACATTTCTTTAGCACAACATTAGGTATATTATCTAACCCTATACCTTTGTTTGCGTCTAACTTCCTAATGGCGGCGCGAACTTCAGATACTTCCAGGATCACATTATGCAACGAGGGATAACACCCAGGGACTACTCCTTCAGTTATTGGAGAAGAAGGATCTATATCTGAAGATGTTGTTGTTAATGAGGGTTGTAGCTGATATACTGATTGAAAGTATTCTGAGAATAAATCGCATATTTCTTGGCCACCATTCGCCTGTTTAGAACCCCAAAGGACTTGGTTTGGTACAGAACAACTATTATGTTTTAAGTTATTAACGTAGGACCATATGTATTTTGGATTTTGTTTCAAAGCTGAGGCAGCGTTCTCTTTAAAAGTTCTATAGCACTCCCTAACCATTTCATCATATCTTCGTCGTAATATATCGAATGTTTGTTTGTCTCTTGGATTTTGATATAACCTGTATCTTTTGTGATATTTAAGTTTCTCTTTCGCGCATTTAATTAGGGGTCTACTGAACCAGGGAGGGTATGATTCACATTTTGGCATGGTATATGGCGTATTTTCTTTCAGTATTGGTAAAACTTTTGCATAAAAATTTTCCACCATTTGATTTATGTCTGCATTAGATCCCAAAATCTCAGCCCATTGTAGATGAGAGAGAGACTCGTCAATTCTAGTAAAGTCAGATTTATTAAAATTTAAAAAGGGAACTCTTTTATGCTTAAGATATTTTATTTGTCCCTGCGCTACAAGCTCGATTTCAAGTGCAGGGTGGTGACTGTCCAAATATATAAGTGGATTTAAACATTCACTCACCTTTACCGTTTTGGGGGAGTTAGTTAGCACTAGATCCAGAGTTCGTTCAGAAGTATTCCTAACCATATTGCACTGTTTAAGATTGCAAAAGGTGATATCATCTAAGAATGTATTTTCTACTCTACCATGGCTTAGTTTAACCGGTATGCATGAAAAATGTCTTTCGTCGACCTGCCACATAATATTTGTCATATTAAAGTCGCCTAATATTATAGTTGCTTCTTGATTTATTCTGTTACAAAATACATCGGTCATGTTGTTCAGAAATAATTCCAAATAATCAATACTTACTGGAGAAGGTATGTATACTACACATATGTTGAGGTTGAACCGCGTTGCTCCCCTGGTAAGACCTATACTCACCCATAAATCCTCACACATGGACTTCCATAATGGTCGCTCGATAACTTCTAAACGTTTGTGCACCGCGATACATACACCCCCCCCATCTTTTTTGGTCCTGGATGATATTGTTCTGTTACGATCACTTCTGAATACCGTATACCTTAGGTCTAAAAATTCATGATCAAAAACCGAGTCATTTAGCCAGGTTTCCGTTAGAACTATGACGTCATAATCATAACGCAAAGAGCTCAAATAAAATGTATTCGTTTTGGTTCTCAAGCCTCTTACATTCTGATAGTATATGTTTAAAATTTTGACGCAAATAACACTTAGACAGTACCAAAACACAAACTTAGGAGATGAAAATTAAAGGGGAAACTGATTTACTTAAGTATTTACAAGTTTTTCAATTTTTCCACACTATCAATTAGAAGAGACCTTGAGGTAACGTTCTTCCGAGCAAATATTTTTCCGTTACGAATCCACAGAAACTCGTATCCCTTTTCCCTTGCGGCTACTCGAGCAGCGGCATGCAGTTTCTTATTTGCGGGTGACAGCTGTTCTGTAACGTATACGGAATGCGTGCTCACAGCAATACCCAGATGTCCAGAATGCAGCTTTTCTTGGGGATTAGCCTGATTAAAACGTCTTACGGATGCCAGTATCTCGTCTCGTACTCGAGGGCTGATGAGTTTAACAACGATGGAACGGGGCCTGCTGGATTGTTGGTCCAGCTTTTGCACTCTGTGGAAATCTACTATCTCTGTGTCTTTAATATCTCTTGATGTTACTTTTCCAAGCTGTTTGATGGTTGTCAGAAGATTTTCAGATTTGAATTCAGGAACACATTGAATTTCTATATTACAGGACCTTGAACGCTGATCCAGGGCATTAAGATGACTCCACAAAGCTCTGTTCTCTGCCTGAAGCGTTTCTATGACTTTTGTGTTCTCGCTTACTTTCTTATTTATACCTTCAAATTGTGATGAAAAGTAGTTAAGTTTTTCTTTCAGCTGCTCAAAATCCTCGTGAATTGACTTATTTTCCAATATTATCTGCTGCCTAACTTCTGCTAGAATAGTTGCAGTTGTCTCTTGGAGTTTGGCCTCTATGTACTGTTTAAGCTCATCCATGTAAGAATCACCTACACCGCTCAACGATGAGGGTGAACAAACTACAGCACTCGGATTCTCTTGCCTTACTGGGGTGCTATCACCTTTCTTTTCTATACTTTTACAATTGGGACACTTCCAATTAGCTTTTGCCTGCTTAGATTCTTTGTGAAAGTTCTCCGTTGTAGTACCCAAGCATAGGTAGTGATAGTGCCCAACACACAGAGAACAAACTTTGTCTTCAATTGGCTTCACAATTTTGTTGCAAGCTTTGCACTTCATCCCGTTACCAAGCTTGTTGAATAAGGAAAACGTAACCGAGCAAGCTTGTGCACTTTGGTTTCGATGGCAACAATACATATATCTTGTCGTCTCGTATCAGTAGTCTGTGCTTGTCAGTTATGTGACGGTATCACAAAGTTGTAATTTATACAAAAAAAAAATAACAAGAAAACAAATGAGGGTATCTTGATTTGTGATGCAAAAAATTTTTAATGTGATATTTGTAAAAATGTTGTGTGTTTCGTTGAGATAATAATGGATGACGTGAGCCTGATATAGTTTTTGACTTTAACAACACTTTTCACAACAAATAACCACAATTAATATTTATAAAAGCACTTAATGATTGTAACGTATACACTGTTTTAAGCTTGACACTTGAAAATGATATCTCGCAAAGTTTGACAGTTGATACATATCTACGTATATATATATAAAACAAAGTCGTGTTTGTTACAACACTTATAACTCGAGAACGGCTGGACCGATGTTAATTATCTCTTTTTAGGTGGATTCTTCTCAGCTCCGAATAGCAGAATAAGTAATAAAATATCCGATAAGTTATCGAATAACAATAAATAAGTAAATTAATTTTACGCATGCAAACAGCATGTGGTGCCCGTTGACAAAACTACGCATCATTTGACGTCGAATTCGTGTCAGTTCAAGAAATTCCGATCTTGATGAATGAGGAGATGCATAACCAGGCTTTCATCTTGAGTTGGGTTACGTGTTAATGTGTCGCACGAATTTGATGATACTGATTATGCAGGAGTCTCGGGGGACATCCACGTGATTTTTGATGCCGGAAACGGGTCTAAGTATTTCAAAAAATTTTTTTTTGTGTAATATATTGAAATTTGTAAACAATCCGCCATTTTCTACTTTTCTATTGGTTATAAGAGATGTGACGTTCACTTTAAAAAATCGTGTTTATAATTAAACGATTGTTAATCTCATCAAAAAATTTTGTATATCAGAAAGTAATTTAACATGCAGAATCGCAATATTGGCGCTAGAGAGAAGAGGCCCAATGTGTAAAACTGCCAATCTTCTTTCGCAATGGCAAAAACTAAAACATTTATGTATTTGCAAAAAAAGTTGTATTGATGTTATTACCTTAATGAAATCCTAAAATAAATTTAACTAAAGTAACAACGATATTATTCAACTGAAAGGCGGAACGAAGTTAGCCGGGTCAGCTAGTTATCATTAAAACAATCAAGGTTTGGCAAATCTTCTCCACAGGAAAATTAGGGCATGGATAAATAAAAACCTATTGGCAATAAAAAGTATTCTAGCAAAAGGAATAAGCTACAGCTAAGCTTTAAAAAGTTCTAATTTCTAATGTACGTACCTTTGGGACAATGAAGCTGAACGTTTCCCCCGAGCGGCACCTCGACTTTCTGATGTACAGGCTCCTCATCTGACTCCGTTGACGTTTGAATTGATTCATCGGGGGCTGGAGCGATTAGTCACAGTTATATCGACTTTCCTAAGAGTTAACATAAGGTAGGGATTCAATTGGAGGATTTATTCGTTTACTTTTATTGGAAATTTGCAACGAAAAATCAAAGACAAAGAAGTTTCGATTGCACAAAAAGCTTAAACGAGTATAATATATCAATAGAATATAAGATCTAAACATTATAAATTTAAACGCTTAAATTCTTCATTAATTTGCTTCTTAAATTGATATAACTATTCCGAAAGTACAATTCTCTATCGTAATATTCATTGCTGAAGGTCGTGTTACTGGATAGTGCTTGCAGCTATTCTAGTGATATCTCTAAACTTGTCCTTCTATAGCTCCCCTTAGCGCAACTGTTATGGGGAAACCCGTGAGAATGGTGACTTAGTCACGACGACTACCAGCTTGTCCAGGTTATACAAATAAAAAAGAAAGTACAATAAAACAAGTAATACTATCAAACATATGCAAAGCACAAAACTTGATTCCTTCCAAGATTTGTTTACGCATACAGTCGAAGTTGAATACGTAACTAGCACAACTTACAGGGGTTTGTTTATTCATAAGATTGAAGTTAACCTAGTCGAACAAATATTGCAAATTATGGTATACAATATATACTTACGTAATGTAAGATATATCGTATTTTTAGGTAAGATATAGATAGATAATACAAACGAAATGCTTTCGTGTTATTGTTATTTTTATGTACAGTAACGAATGTTATAAATTCGCGTTTATATTTGAGAAGGTTTATTTAAATGATTACTCACGTAAAAAGACAATATATACTGTATAGTCAACATGTTTAGGACTATTTAGTATTTTTTTTATATAGTAATTTGAAATATTCGTGACTTTGAATTTAAAAAATAACTCTTGGGTCTAAACATGGAAACCCCACGGATTCTATTAGATCAATCATATATCTAAGCAAAACAAAAGTTCAGCGCAGAACGCTTCCCTTTTTTTCAGCACCGCATAGAAAAGAACTAATAAAATACATTGATAAAAACGTTAAAAGGTATAGTAGTCTATAAAAGTTTTTATTTTTTTGCCAATTGTTAGTCGAAAATATTGGCATTTTCATAGAACAGATAGTTAGTCTCTGCCGAAAGAAAGCGAAGAGTTCCAGGCCGTGGAGTGTGTATTTGCACCTTTGTCTGTGCAAATAGTTTTTTTTTACTTTAGCAAAATGTAAAAAAATACTTATTGCTTTATTTTCTCCCTCTTCTGTTTTTTTATATTAAACATTATTATTTTTTCATAAAAACTTTTTCATGTGAATATGTTGTTATATTTAGAGCTCTACTGTGATCAGGAAGCAGATAGTTTTTTGGACTTAAATGTCTAGAACTCTTTCTTTAATCTATCAGGAACTATTGAACTATTGTGTGTGCTACTAGAAATCCATATTTTGTGCTCTGTTGACTTTGCAGATACACGGAATAGCGGGATATTTGTGCCTATTTTCCGATTGAAAAACATTGAAATGCATGTACTTACAAAGCACATTAAGGTAGTATCCGATGGACGAGTACTCTGTGTTAAGCCATGTCGCTCGGCATTGGTACCATCCACCATGGGATGGCTGTAATCGCGCCCAACGTAGGGTTGCCGAACCAGCCGCGCTGTCCGTTGGTGCAGGAGAACTGCATATCATTTTATATTAGACTAAATAATTTAAACATAAGGAATTAATTAATAATAATTAAGTAAATTAAATATTCTTTAATATGTCAGAACTTTTGGTTACCTAGTACCTTTACGTGTTTATTATTTTTTCGCCTTAATAATTGTTAAATATTTTTATTGTAATTCCATCAAATAGCAATTAACCTATATTGTTGGAACTTTAAAATATTTCAATAGTATCATCTATTTAAGCTTCAAAGGTCGTATCTTAAAGTTGATTTAATTTTATTAACTTATTATTTAAATTGAAAGTAAATAAACAATGAATAATAAAGCACGTCACAATGCTACATAATTACGTGTATTTTCATCGAACAACTATTATGTTTAACTGACTAGAAAATGCAGAAACTATTATGCTGTATCGGTTGATATTGTCATAACCCACTAAACATATTGCAAAATTCATAAATTTTGTTTATATAATAATTTAAAAAAAATACGTTATAATTGGTGGATCGAGTATAACTCGCAATAACTTACCTTTGAGGCAGCGGAATATCACTGTCCCTTGTCCAAAGTGGGCGAGCGGGAGGATTGGAATCCACGTCACAGCGAAGGGCGGCTGGACTGCCCGCCCACAGGGACACACCGAACCCAGGCCAGCGAGATATTACGAAAGATGGTGGATCTTTAAGGGAAATTTTAAGTCTATGAATAATGGTTGGATCACTGAGGTTGGGCTGCATATTGAAATGGTTAAATAATAACTAGTAGTAATAGACTATTTTTTTTTTAATTACAAGGAAAACTATAATAATAAATTGCCAATATATTTTTTTGACAAAAACTCTATTTCTTCTGCACTAGACAACAGTCTTAAAAACATTCGGTCGTTTCTTTATATTTTAATAAAATACATACATTTTGAGTAAATATAATGGCGATGATGATACTTACAAGTGACATGAACTTCCAACTTAGCAGTCATAACATCGTAATGTTTGGTTGTATTGTCTTTCCCCGGTTTTCGTTGTTTTGCCTCACACTGTAAGGTTGCATTATGAAGCTCCCTAGCTGCAGTCACCACCACACGAGACCAGTACATACCATCTAGGAACGGTGATATATCGTAAGACATTGTCGTAAGAATTAGTTAAAGTATATTTTAATAATATCAGCTATAAAAAAATTACTTTCCTCCATTGCGGCAATTTAAAATAAACTTAATTTACATTTACCGCGAACTAAAGTCTGCAATTATTTAACTAAAGTAAATATAGGAATAAATTAAGACTTAGTTTCATCATTTATCTAGAACACAATCTCTTCTAATAAATGAAACGGTAATGCAATGAATGGCGCCAAACGCCCGAAGCGGGCGCGTCCACAGATAACTAAAAATTGGAACATACAGCTATAGACTATAGAAATTGCGCGCCAAACCAAATAATAATTGGACTATAAATTTGAACTCAACAATATTTTATATTCTGTGTATGGGCTATTTTATCACGGACTATAGCACCCATACAAAATGCTATTTATAACTCAGTTAAGTATTGACATATATTTATTATTTCAAGAACCCGCCAAAAACGCTACGCATAATGGCGTCGCCTGTGACGTACAAAAGAAACTTGAATTTGTCAATACACAATATATTATTTGGGTAATTTAATAAATATATATTTTATATTTCGAATCACCGACGAAATTAAACTTCACGACAGTATTCGCCAGACATTATTTACAAACACGTTACCGTCCATTCGATATGAATAATTTTAATAATTATGGATTTATTTAATAAGTCAGTCATATGACACAAACGGTCACAGATTAGTCAAATCGACGATAACGTGTTTGTTAATAATTGTAATTATTTACAAGTTCTATAACGCGTTTTAAGGGCATTTTTTATACGGATTACTTTCAATAATACTGTTTCATACTGTCAAGTCTATTTCCTCCTTAGTAATTTACAAACTACAATATGAAATACAGATAAAACATATAGTATAGGGATAAAACTTTACTTTATGGTCACTTACCCATAGAGTAGTTAGTGGGTTGTATCCGTAAATACGGCCTATGGTCTAGCGCCGGTTCGAGGGCCAACAGGCGCCACGTTAATTCCGGTGGTGGTACTCCACCTACACAATATTTACGATTATTTTTTTATTTTTTTTTATTTTGTCACGCCTTTTTCTCGAAGGGGTAGACAGGTACGGTTCCTGACATACCTCTCTCACATCATCCACTTTCATGACATTAACCATGTATGCTCGTTGGGTATGGGTACTCTTAACTAGTCCCTTCTCTAGTACCTCCTGAATTTGGTTCAGGTACGACAACCCGATTTCATAAAAATTACATTTACTAAATCAAATTAAAACATTAAAGGACTTCCCATTTAATAACCCCATTAGTTCTAGGCTCGATTCCCGGTGTCACTGCCCAAATTCAACATAATGCTGTTATGGTATTTTTTTATTTAATTGGTATTTTTCCAGTATTACCCTATCAACATTTTGTAACAATCATTGACAATTATCACACATAGCTTATTAAAAGCTTTCAATAAGAACTATGGAGAACTTTTTTAAATCCCACCAGTACCTTATTCTTGTATCAGTATCTCATTCTATCTATCTCTTGATACCATTGTATAGGTACGTCCTTAAGTCTGTCGTTAATTGTGCATTATATACGTTGCACCGTGCTTTTACATTAATCTGCCATTACTCGTAATTTAATAGACAATTCTAAGCACGCCTTTAAGAAGGATATATATAGTCTATTCTTTATAACTTTACATATTTAGATGAAATAAGTCGTCTTTATTATCAAACATTGACTAAAAGTACGGAATTTGTTACCTTGGTTACCATTCTTTGAAGTGTCACCGAAAATAATCCACGTTCCTTAATAACATGTTAGCATATTTTTTTATTCTTTTGATCAAATCGAAATGTCACTACAGCTCAGTAAAATATTAAATAGACACGAATTACCTTCAGCGACACATCTAACTTCCAGCACAGTTTTATCCCTAACTGGCACCCAGGTGTTTCCAGCATCCAGACGTCTCCCATCCACAGCCAGATAGACGGAACGAACTGGTTCTGTATAGGACAAAAATAAACTGAATTCTTCCTGATACGTCTTCGAGATAAAATAATAGCGTAGTATTAAGATCTAGGCGTACAATTTATTACATATTAAACTTTCTCTGTATTCCTTATTTATATAAATGAACATTTTTTTTCGTAAAATATAAGATCTGAAATAAAGATTAATTAAACGCCTGGTACATAGTACCGGCGACCCCAGAGCTGGTGCTTTCCTCGCTCAACGAATAAGTATTGCAATACAGTGAGGAAATGCTGCCAGCCTTAAAGGGTCCAATTTTTTTATGTTTTTATTAATTTTCTATGTTTATTATTACTGTAGGATAAGAAAATTGTAAATACTGTAGATTTTATTGCTATGTTTAGGTTTTGATAAACGATTTAGTTGCAGATCAATAATACACCAGCAGCCTGTCCCGAGTTTGAACTGTCTGTTTTATTTATTTTCTAAATAAATATAGCATATGTAAATAAAAACAAAATAGCCTTTATTCGAGTACTATAATAAGGATTAGGTACATTAAGTTTAAGTAATTATTGTATTTAATATTAGTACACGACCTGCGACGGAGTGAAGGCGTCCTCCAAATTTTTCCATTTGTCTCTCATCTTCGCTACTATTTTCCAATCTTTCCTCGCTTTCTCTTATATTTTATCTTCCCAGGTCTGTGGTATTCTCTGTCTTTTTTAGCCTATGTACTCGGCGATAATGTTTTAATCGAATATTAAAACGGGCTCTTTGAGTTTTTTCAGAAAGTTAAAGAAACCTTTTCTCTTAATTTATACTAAACAAGAAACGAACAAACAAAACATCTGAATGACTGGAAGACTTCCACTGGGAGATAAGACCTCCAATTGTTTAAAAAAAGAGCACTCTCTTCCCTCAAAGGCCGGCAACGCACCGCCTCTAAAATGAGTGTCCATGTGCGATGACTGCCCTTTTTGGGCGTCCCGTAGGATATTGCCTCCCAAAAAAACGCCGCAATCAAGGTTGCGACATTAGCGTTACGAACTACATTGAAACTTCATACGTCGAAAAAATTCACCATATATAAGCAGTCTAGTGGGTTGTCCAGTCAGCGGTCGCCCAGACTTGTCTCGCCCCGAACAGCGCCACCTTGCTGCGTGGTTACGACCCGCGCGGGCAATCTCCACTGCGTCCCCATCTCGGTAGGCTTCAGATCCATCAGGGGACGAGCCCAACGTTACTTGCTGTAGGAATAAATAATATTATTACTAAACAAAAACACCCCATAATTTAGGTAAAATTTGATTATAAAGGAATTATCAATTTATATAATTCGTCGCCTTTTTAAGAGCTTGCAATTCAATATATTACGACAATGTGTTCCTCGACTTAGGAAGAGGAGTTTACTCAAACCTAGACATATGATATTGTTGATGTTTTTGTAGATATTGATGTCTTCTTTAAAACTGTAGTAGATCACTTTGCTCTATCGCCAATAGTTTCCGCAGCGTACGTGATTTGTTTACACTATCGTAATTACAGAACCATAACTTTTTAAAAATATTCTATAGCTTAACTCATTATTGCTACCTTAGAGCTCAGGGATAACGTAGGGTTCAAATAGTGAAAGAACTTATCAAAACAGTCCTATGGTTTTAGAGCCTCGAATGCAAACAAACACTGAAATCTTTCCTCTTTATAATATTAGTATAGATTATTACGGTGTATCACCACAATTACATACCTCATTATCCTTAAACCATTTGAGATTGGTGACGTTAGCTAAATCGCAAAGTAACCGCGCGCGTGTGTGAGCCTCCACAAGCAGTTCACGCTCTAGCTTCTGAGGCTGCAACAAAAAAACTGTGTCACATACTCCGCTAGAACACAAAACGTGTCTCTCCATCAAAAAGGTCTAATTTACATTATCGCTTTAATTTTAGCTTGTCTCGTAAAACTGTAATGACGGCAAACTAATAATTTCAATTTGGTGTCGTATAGATGAAGTGTTAAATATATATTTATAGATGATTAATGTCAGAGAGGGTACAATGGCATTGGTACTCTGTGACCCCTAATAGCAATAGCTTGAACCCTACTTCGATGTCGAGTATTTGTACCGCACGATCCCAGGGTCGCGACATTTAAAGAATTATATCAAATATGTATAACTTTTCAAAACTTTCAGTATTGCCGTACGGTATTAAAGATTACCGAGGCTCAATCGTAAGGATAACATTAATTCATATTGTAGGTAATTCATTACAATTGTTTCATACATAAAGTAATACATTGAGTTCGTCTAAATTTAAGAATGATTTTACTAAACATTGAACTGAACGTTATCGAAAAACATCTTGTGCAGTTAAAGTTAAACTAACTGACAGTAAACGGAGGTTCTCAGTTGCTGTTTTTTTAATAAAACAGCATACAAACCCGGATAACGAATCGCAAAGTGCGTAAACCAAATATAAAATTCACAAAAGCTGTTTTGCGAAGAAAATTAAAGCAAATAAAAAACGGGGAAGTTACAATTTTCTCTCAATTTGAATGAAGGCTGTAGTTAATAAGGGGCTCTCAAAATTAATTGAGTTCTCCTGAAGTCGGGAGTGAAGCTCTTGATGCGAACATTTGAATCCTTTAAGCCGCTGTATTTGAGAGAAACAAAATACAATAATTGAGCTATTTTCGTCATTGCATTTGGGATAGGAAAATCGCTATTCGATTCTTTAATTACACAACTAAAAATATATATTTATACTTATATCTATTCTTAACCTTCGTTCGTGATACAAATGATTTGAACTGGGATTTGTAAGATTGTAAATTATCTTTAAACTATAATAGTTTTCTGTTTCGGTTAATTTTTAAGTCTATATGTAAATTTTTCATTGCAAACTGTAATCCGTTATATTACATAGTTATGTCATATTTATGTTTAATTATACATTAAGTTGTGTTTTAAATTTGATTACTAAAACACAGATATTAGATATAATAATGGATTTCTTTTTCTTTATCTAGGACATGTCCTAGGCATGCCTAAACCGTTCTAAAATTAAAAAAATACCTGCGGCGCTTGTATCCTCTCTCTGCGAGCCTCAGCCTCTCTCACTTGATCTCTGGGCTCATCTCGCATTACCGGCGACGGCCTGATCACAAAGGCATCCACACGGGATGAAGCCCTAGGTCCAGGAGCGGCACCTGCATCCCCAATCGCATCGCGGACAGCACCACGAATATTTAGGATTGTATCACCGGTTTTCACTCGCCGAGTCTGGTAAAAGAATACACGATGTCTAAAATAAACTATGTACGGGGATAATATTTTTTAAATAACATTTATATAACTTAAAACTACTCAAACATCTATGAAAAGATGATCTATGAAATAAGGGATTTAAGTAGACAAAGAGATCCAATGAAGACATAAATAAAAAAAAACCCGCAAATGTTATTTTGGGGGTACCACTAGGTGAAAATTAAGGATGTTAATTGGCAAAAATAAAAATATTTTGTCCAAAATATAAAAAAATTGTTGGGTGGGATAGGATTGCTACCACTTAGAGGTTAATAATACAATAACGTCCTATTCCCAGACCTACCAACTATAGGTACAGAAAAAATCACAAGAAACTTAACCAAAGGTGATCTGAACTGATCTGAACTTACCTTCGATTTCTCCCATTCACTACTCCGCTTAACTCTTTCTTCATCATTATCATCTTCTACCCTAGCTTCTTCATCTAAACTACTTTCATTTGAATTCTCCCCTGGAGCTACAATAAAACCGTTTTCTCTATCATTCAAATCAAATGGATTCTTAGCATAACTCATGTCTTTCTCGTCAAACATTTCAAATACATTCTGAGGTTCTGTTTCTAGTCTTTCGTCGAGGTTCACGTTTCTTATTTCTATATCTTGGTTAAATACATCTTCTATATTGTTTTGGCTGAGTTCGGTCGTGTCTTGATTATCTACGGGATTCTTTAGCGGTGGATAGAGAGGACCATCTCGGAAGATATCAGCGTCTAGCGGCGCAGGGGAAGGTTCAGAACTACTTGGTTCAGTGAACACTGAGGAGAAGAAGCCTGTAAAAGAAAGAAATCTAATTTATACTATGGCAATATAGATAAAAATATTGCGCTCTCTTATGGTATGGTATGCTCTTCTGTTTGACATTTTAATGATTGTAGGTACATGACGCAATAAATTCTAAATAACACAATTTTTATTAAACTACTGACGCACAAGAAGAATACTTTCAGTTTCAGCATAGGGCATGAAGAATGAAATGAAGAAATTTAGGAAATGATGCTTATGAATGTTAGTGAATGTATAAAGTTTTAATCGATACTAAAAAAAATCTTTTGAAGCAAGCATCTGGGTGGGCCTTCTAAAAGAGAAACAGCGAAGAAAGTGCGATTTTTGGGTAGCTCATATGTAGATTTAGCGTTGTGTATAAGAAGTCTGCATTAAGTATAGTTTTCTAACCGTTAAAACCGTTTTGTTTCATCGTACAATTTTGAAGTTTGGTAGCGAATTAGAGATAGATAATTAACTTATAATTGAAGATCTCTAGTTACCCTATTCCTCAAGATTTATGATTATAATCAGACATTTTCTTAGCTAAGAATAGATTGGACTTGGATTTTATCTTATCCCATTTCCCCTTCACGGAATAAACAGTTGATCCTTGAACAGATCGCGATATAAACGCATTATTACTATTCCGGTCACGCTACGCAGGATTCACAAGAGGAATGTAGAATAGGGGATTAGGGACGTAATTATGGTGACGTAGGAATGTTTTATTTCGACTCTTGAGTGTTGTGGCACTTTAAAAAGGCCTTACAGAATTTATAAATGCCTTGGGAGTGTCGAAATAAAAGTTTTTCACACTTATATTATTGGAATTGCAAAAAACCTTAAGTGGAAATGGGCGGGCCGTACACAAGAACAATGGCAGATGGACAAAGAGGACCAAAAGACGAAAGTGGAAATGGGCGGGCCGTACACAAGAACAATGGCAGATGGACAAAGAGGACCAAAAGACGAAAGTAAAAATGGGCGGGCCGTACACAAGAACAATGGCAGATGGACAAAGAGGACCAAAAGACGAAAGTGGAAAGGGACACCAGGAAGAAGAAGGAGAGGTCACCCTATTGCACGGTGGGGTGACGAGCTTAAGGAAGTTGAATTGGGAGGAAAATGCTCAAGACAGAGAGAGATGGAGCCAATTGGAGGAGGTCTATACTCAATAAGAGGTCCTTGAAAGGTATATATATATAAATAACTTATTTATTTTAAGTATGTGTATATTTTGTAAATGTTTCAATGAATAAATGAAGGTTATTATTATTGGAATTAGATTGGATTATAAAATTGGATTTTTGTACATTGTTTCGCGATAACTACGGACCACTGGACTAAGTCAAATCGCTAAGGCAATTTAGAATAACTTGCAGGTCATTAGCCTAAGGTTAAAGGCTATTTTAGATCGCAATCGCAAAGAAAAGCAGAGAAGGTCGGGTTGTCTTTTTAGGGTATTTCTTAAAGCGAAATGTTTTTATTGTGTAGAAAATATAATAAATACACGCCTTCGATTCTACATTGAAGCTGTAGGGCATAGAAACTTATATTAAATTTCTATAATTCTCTATGTTTCAATGTTTAGTTTCATGTAGTACATGATTATAATAGTATATGATTTTACAAGTGCATGTTGAAGTTATTAGAAAAATCTTTTATGCCAAGTAAAAGTTTTTTGCGTTTACAAAAGCTCAAAGAACTGGTTAATGACAGCGACTTTGTGTAGTAATTTAACATGTCTAGCCGCGCAGTACATAAGGTTCTAGTCCAAGGGAATTTAGTAAGTCTGTCACGCCTCCCCAACTCAATTAACAACTATTTACTGGATCTCAGCGACTGGATCGTTGGGCGAATCTTAAACTGAAGATGCGATTAGAGACCAAACAAGTACTTCGGTCACTATTGGTCTTTGTGCTCAGTTGGCTTCTTTGGGCAAAAATCTACTGAAGTCTTATTTACTTAGGAATTAGTACTAGTTTATTAATCAGAAGTCACGTTTGTTAGGTTCTGTATAATTTGAATTTGCCGCGCAGCTAGACTTGTCGAAACTTGACATTTGACAGAAAAAAACTGAATTGAAGTTTAAATTTGAGTAATAACACAAATTTTAAAATTGGTTAATTACGTGGAAGAAAAATACAAAATGAACATACACATTGTTTTTTTCCTCATTCAGAAAATTAGAATTGTATAACGTTTATTAGAAGATTTTAACAAGCGATATTTGTCCAGCGCTTGATGTGCTTGGAGTTTTCAAAAACAACTTTAATAGCATAATAATCGTTATTTGGACACACTTTTCGTAAATACATTTATCTTATAACATAATTATTTATAACGGCGCGGCGATAACGCCGTACTGAAAGGTCTTTAATAAAATATTAACGGCAGTTAAACTTGACTTTGCGGTTTATCTTTACAAGGCAGCAAGCTTTAATCTTACTCTAAAAAGTTCACGCTTTTGCGCAGTGTGCGTCACGAAATAAACTACTCTAGTAACTGGGAAGCTTTTAAAAGAAATAGCGAATAAAATTTTTCAACTTTATAATCCAGTGTCGGTATAATTCTTTAATAGGTCTTGGTATGTTTCACCGTAAGATCAAGTTTTTAATACACACGAATAGAAAACGCATTGGTTTCTGGCAATGCCGGGATTTGAACGCACTATCACAAGGTTGCGCTAAATTATTAGCGCAAGCCAGCAAGAACGTATTCGTATATATCGATACTGTACATGTATAAATTAATAAGAATACTTAGTAATTATAAACACAATGTTATAACAATACTAGTGTAACCCTTTTTTAAGATTAATAGTATTGTGTCACATTGCGTGTCTCTTTTATTATATATACACGAGACAATTACATTTGGAAAACTAAAACAACTGCCTAACTCATTAGAACATGAAATGGTCAAAGCAATAATTTCGTTTGTACAACTTTTGTCGTCCGGTCGGAAAGTCTGTGCTCTGCGGTTTTTATAGAACAAACTAGTTTTTGATAACTAATTTGGTAATTATTTGTACTCGATGAGGAAATAATAGTAGAGTTAATTACACATAATATATACTATTGTACTTGATAGTCGAAAGCGTTATTATTAGCATTTGTATATAAGCGTGGAAATATAATTGCTGGACGTTTCAGTTAGTAATTTCTTTAAGTCGTGTTTTTGAAATAGGTTTTATCTGGAAAATATTTTTTTTAAATAAACGTTCCTTTTCGTGTCGTTTTACAAATAAATAAGGGGGCTTTCCCCCAATTTTTATCCTCTGTATAATTATTAGGGTGTGTTATTCAAGTGCACAGGCGTTATCGTTTAAGTGGCGCCTGTATAAATGTTTTTAATCATTATTATTATTACTTTGGAGAAATACTGTATATTTGGGTGTTAAAAATAAATAAGTTTTTAAGTTTAAGTTCATAAGTTTTTAATTAAGTATAGTTTAGAGAACACTAACCTCTTAGTTTAATATCGAAGGAATTATTTATGAAATATAGCGAAAATAACAGTAAGTAAAATATGAATATCAATTTATTCAGGATTATAAATACTTCTAACATGGATACCGATTGACTACCCTCGTTAAATAATTTACAAAGTTTATTCGAAATTAGTCCATATTCCCCTGTTTACAGTAACAATATTATCTGTTTTCGGAATCATCCATCGTAATTTCCACTTCAAAGTCACTTGCAATTTGTTGTCAAATTTTCAACTCAATTCTCCTTAATAAATCTTATTCAAATTGCTTTAACTCACAAAATCGAAGTTGAGATACATAGACACTATAAGAGCTTTTTGTTTAGAAATTCTTTTGTGTTTGAAGAGGGAATAATCAAGATTTAATTTATACATTAATGTAATAATTAAGTGTAACACAAAGTAAATTACAACCATAGATCACGTAAAAAAATATGTGTCGTGAGTAAGTTTAAAATAAAAATTGGCCTATGCCTATCAGCCAATAACATCTAGCCAATCAACAAGATTCGTTAATTTTTCATCAATTTTTTTTTTACTTCTAATCTTATATTTCTTATATTTTAATCCTTGTTCAAGTTTGAAAAAGGAAAAGGGAGATAAGGATCAATCAATATTTATGACAACATCACAAATTAAATTCTCTAGAAAAATTGCACTTTCATGTTTCTGCCTATCAGAGTTGTCATCATGCTTTGTTCCACAATCCTCACATCAACACCAACTATGCAAATAAATCAGTTTTGTAACGCGCAGCCCGGACGTACAACGACCACTGTTTAAGCCTTGACTTGTTCAAGCTATCGCGGAATATGCTTAAAATGAGTATTAAGAATATCCATACCGCTAACCTGCATCATGAGCACACCCCACATACAAACCCTCACGTACATACTCTTACTTTCACACCATCACACAGCACAGCCGATTTATTATTACTATTATTTAGTATATATTATGTATTTCATCTTTGGCTATAGGATTGAAATAATAGTTTGGAAAATCCAAAAGTGCACGCCTCATAGCGATCATTCACATTTAAAAAAAAATTCTAAAACAAATACTCAAGGTTTTTAAAACAAAATAACAAATAAATTATTATCTTAAAGTCTCATGCTACGAAGAATATTTAAACATACATATTTAGTGGCGCCATAACTCTAAGGTGAGGAACAGTCGTATTTTAGTTTTTTAACTAATTATAAGTAAACGACAGTACTTAGAACGCTAATATTAGGAATTTATTATTATATTACTAGGAATCAGCCCAGGGTATAACTTTATATAATAAGAAAAAAAAGTATTCTGGTACGATAAATTTTTCGACCAATTTCTCTGCCACATACCATAGATCCATAAACACAGACTGACGGACGTCCAAGAATGATTGATTTTAATGTTATTATTTACTATGTTAAACAAAATAATTGTTCATAAAAATACCATATGTGCTTGATAGATTATGTAACTCGATTTTAGTGCACTCATATTATCCTGTAAGTGTTATATTAGTGAGAAAAAAGTCATTCAAGTTTCGAAAGACTGGGTTTTTTGACATGTCGAGAGTAGAGCACTGCGAGGCGTGCAATAAATAGAAATTTCATTGCAATGTAGGTTTATTAGCCTCCCTCGAAATAGTACTCAATTTAAATTACAATGTACAATAGAAACAACTGCATTGAAGAACAATACTCTGAACCTTAGGGAGATGGTATATCTTTAGTTAAATTTAAACAGTTAATTTGTATACCGTTCTTGCATTTAGATACAGTTGGATTTTAGCTCCTCGATTTACAAACGTACATTGGGAATTTCTCAATAAAGATTTAAATAACCTCACTTTAGATCCAATCAGAGGGCTCGCGGGTGGTTTGCCGGTATTTTATGAATTGGTACGCTCTTTTCTTGAAGGACCCTAAGTCGAATTGGTTCGGAAAT